ACACACACACACACACACACACACACACACAAAACATGCACAAACATGCAGGCTAACAGTCGCATGCATAATATAAATGAACAGTAATGAAAACAATAACAATGTTAAGCTACCCGTAGATACATACTCAGCATTCTAAATATTGTTTGTGATACATCCCAGCAGAAAGGTGAAGATATTCTATAAAAATAACTTCTGGAAGAGGACATCGAACTCACATCCTTAGAATGCAATGCAACTAATCTAACCACAGCAACAACACCAAATGGTCGCTTTTAAGGACAAGCAGGCTAACCCAGATTTCGGGGGCTTCCAGAAATCTTAATCTGCATCAAAAGTGGGCATTGCCCTGCCTATAGGAAAAGTTGGATTTCATTGCTGTGTATATGTTTTTGATTATAGAGACAACTCTCTTTGTTTTTTAATGAAACTGAACAAGGGGCAAAAACGTTACTTTCGATTTTCTCAAAACAGCATTTTTCGGGATAGCCCATATGTCCTTAAAAGCAACCACATTTTCTTTTGTTTGAACTCCGGATAATTTGAGACTATAAAAACTAATAAGGTCCAATAGCTCAGTAAGTAAGTGACCAATGCCAGAAGATTCCTGTAAGCCTTCATAGAATTAACCCCCACCTATCCCAATCGATGGACTGGCGTTTCCAGTGCATCGGAGACCAAGGGGAGATGACTTTAGAACTCAGCACTACGAAACCTGAGAGGGGATCAAAGAGAGAAAACCATATCTACTAAAACTACCCACTGCAAGGAAAGCCCGAGGGGGCAGTGGATTATCTACCCTTGTGATCTATTGGGCAGCCGCTTGGAGCAGAGCTTAACGGTTCTCAGATTTGGCAGTTGCTTTCAGTGGCTTGGCGATGTTTGCTTTCAAAGGCAAGCCTTCTGAATCTTTCCACATACTCACTGAGCCATCTGTCTTATGCGCTCACCTTCGTGAACACTCTGAGGCCCAGGATGCAGCCCACACTCTTTCTATCTCTTTTTCT